TGTCCCGCCCGGCCTGTCCCGTCACGCACCGCCCGGCCTGTCCCGCCCGTCCCGCCCCGCCCCGCCCGGGAGTCGCTCCCGTGCCTCACACCCGCTTCCCGCCGCGCTGGCCGCCCCCGGCCGGGGAGCAGAAGCCGGAGGGCTTGACCCAGGTCTGCGCTCTGACCTCGATAAAACATGTACGGGCTGTCAGGATCGATAACGGTTTCTGGGCTTGGCTGGGGTGGTTTTTTTTGTAATTTTGTGTTGTTCTTCGTGCATTTTGGTGTCAGTTCTGTGAGCCAGCTACATTATTGACTTGTTACATTTTCATACTGTCCTCTTAAGCTCCCTCAACACAAATCCATTCCATGTAGAAGTAGGTCCTCGAAGATTTATGCAAAGATTCCTCTACACTTAAGTTGCCATATGTCTAAAAGACTGAGAAATAAGGCCCTTGATGTGCCTACCACATAGACTGATATTACGTCATTGCATTCCCCTGTTTAACAGTCTGTCGTCTGCTTGGGATGGGCCTCTTTCGGGAGGTGACCTCTCTTGACACAGAACAATCCTCGTGCTTGAGATCGAGTCTCCAGGGCTCTCTCAGAACTAACAGCACCACAGACGGATGGGCCTCTTTCGGGAGGTGACCTCTCTTCTTTGTCTTTGTGACACAGAACAATCCTCGTGCTTGAGATCAAGTCTCCAGGGCTCTCTGTCAGAACTAACAGCACCACAGATAAATGAGGAACACTTCGTAGTTTAATGAGACAGAGCTTAGGCTTATTTATGCTTCCAATTCTGTCTTTCTGGTCCCTCTTAGAACCATTGCTATGTATGCAAAAGTTGCATAATTGATATTACTGCCTATGATAAAATGATTGCAAAAGACTGAGATCATAACAAACTGGAAAAAGGGAAAAAGTCAGATATTTTAAACAATAAACCATTTTGTTCTCTTCAGTTCCTGTGATGATCTTTACTTTTTTGGTCTGAAAGTTCATTTTGAAAACAGCCAGATAGTTCCTAACAAACCCCTTCTTGTGAGTGGCTTGGGTTTTTTTTAGGACTGCAGGGAAACTTGCCATCAGCTCTGGTAGCCCATCTGCTCACGCTGTGCTTTCCTTCCAGGGCAGTGATCTGCCTTGGCACTACAGAATCCCAGCCACCTCTCAGAGAGTTTATTGTCCCTGGTGACAAAAGCGTTCAGTTTACTCTTCTAGTTTGTGATGATGTCAATTTTTTTGTAATTTTGTGTTGTTCTTCGTGCATTTTGGTGTCAGTTCTGTGAGCCAGCTACATTATTGACTTGTTACATTTTCATACTGTCCTCTTAAGCTTCCTCAACACAAATCCATTCCATGTAGAAGTAGGTCCTCGAAGATTTATGCAAAGATTCCTCTACACTTAAGTTGCCATATGTCTAAAAGACTGAGAAATAAGGCCCTTGATGTGCCTACCACATAGACTGATATTACGTCATTGCATTCCCCTGTTTAACAGTCTGTCGTCTGCTTGGGATGGGCCTCTTTCGGGAGGTGACCTCTCTTGACACAGAACAATCCTCGTGCTTGAGATCGAGTCTCCAGGGCTCTCTCAGAACTAACAGCACCACAGACAAATGAGGAACACTTCGTAGTTTAATGAGACAGAGCTTAGGCTTATTTATGCTTCCAATTCTGTCTTTCTGGTCCCTCTTAGAACCATTGCTATGTATGCAAAAGTTGCATAATTGATATTACTGCCTATGATAAAATGATTGCAAAAGACTGAGATCATAACAAACTGGAAAAAGGGAAAAAGTCAGATATTTTAAACAATAAACCATTTTGTTCTCTTCAGTTCCTGTGATGATCTTTACTTTTTTGGTCTGAAAGTTCATTTTGAAAACAGCCAGATAGTTCCTAACAAACCCCTTCTTGTGAGTGGCTTGGGTTTTTTTTAGGACTGCAGGGAAACTTGCCATCAGCTCTGGTAGCCCATCTGCTCACGCTGTGCTTTCCTTCCAGGGCAGTGATCTGCCTTGGCACTACAGAATCCCAGCCACCTCTCAGAGAGTTTATTGTCCCTGGTGACAAAAGCGTTCAGTTTACTCTTCTAGTTTGTGATGATGTCAAGCTTAGAGCCCCCTCTCTCCAGAATATTTCAGAAAAATAAGTGTACAACACACTGTGGATTCTAGCAACACAGTGTTGGAAAGTTAGAGTGGGATACATGGGAAGCTACCAACAACAGCTCTTGCAGAAGCTGCTGTGTTGCACACAGCTTGCACTGAGGAGCCTTGGTACTCCAACACAGGCAATCTTTAAAAAGCACAAGACCTCATTCAGGTACTTTTCATCAGTTTAACAAAGGCAGGGTCTAACATTAAATCAAAACACCTAGCTACCAGATGTAAGCAGAAATAACAGTCGCCCAGCTGCACCTATTGGCAAAACAGAAAGAAGGGACTTGATCTCTGTCACCATTAACCTAGATTGTTTTGCAAACAGAACAATTTGGTCATTTTTATATTTAGGAAATGGAGAATAAACCAAATATCTTATTTTGAGAAGTCTTCATAGAATTTTTTACTTAGCAGCTTATTAGTATACAATTGGTGGGGGAAGTAAATTTTCAAACCATTTCTAGATTTTATTTAACTAAGTTATTTATCATATTTACTCCTCTTACAAGTTATTTGGAATTTCTACAAATGGTTCCAGTGAGTAGTAGGTTCCAGAATATATAATCACTTTTTAGCAGTTGTCTTATTTCTGTAGTGAGTGTATATTTCTGTTCTGAATACTGACTGTGCTATATGAGGAGCTACTGATTTTAATTTCTGGATTTGATCTACTGTGTTTTTTTAAGCTGTCTGGTTATTGTCTTGCTTTCTAGTCCAAGAGAAGTTGTTAGTTGGAATGTGAGTCACAGCTGTGCAGCATGACAGAGGAAAGTAGGCTTCTTACCACTCCACATGTCCTTGGGCAAACTGACCACAGCAGATTTGGTCTTTTTCCATCCTTGCTCTGCTGAAGTCCATCAGCATGTCTGCAAGCCTGGAGCAAAAGAAACACTGCATATTTCTAAGCAAATCAAGCGGCCAGGTCAAAGCTTGTAGCCTTCAGTCTTCTTTCATGTGAAAAAATTATTGGATAGTGGAAGGCAGTACAGCTAGTAATACAGAATGGACTTATGTGATAGCTAAACCTTTATCCTTTTTCTCAACATTTAAAAGCTAATTTCTGTGACATGCTTGATATCAGGACAGGTAGATGTTGAGGGAACCCGCAGCTTACCCATCTTCAGCAATGCCTCACCTCAGGGCATGATGTGATGCTTGCAGTTATTAAAAGGCTTATTCCCCTATTTCTGCTGAGTTACAGGAATAAAAAACTGAAGTGACACAGAGAAGGCTCAGGTCCTTGTTTATACACATATAATGATGTCTCTATTCCGGGGAGCTTGCAGCCGTATACAGGGATTACTGTATAGAGTCCCACTGCCTTCAACAACAGTTCTCACTGTAGTAAGCAGTGTCTGTTACTGCCTGCTAAACCTGAGGGCAGACATAAGTGAATGCAAAGCCTTATGTGGTTTTTATAACTGAAATTCTTGACAGAAGAGATATTTATCAGAAGCTACCTAAAGAAAATACAGGACTTGTTTCTGTTTTATACGTATGCCAGCTAAATAATCTATGCTAATATCACATGAATGTGATGCATTTCTTTTACAATGCTTCATTATTGATGTAGAGATATATACTAACTTTTTATTTTTATGCTCCTTTATTCTGTTACCTCTGATGCAGCAAATGCTAACATTTAAAACTATGGTTTCTTTTCTGTTGCTGGCTTTGGTTCCTCTAGAGCAGACTAAGTACTGTATTTGAACAGTGTACATATCACATGCTAGTACAGGCTTTTTTTCACAGTCCAGGAAACTAATAATGAAAAAAAATGTCTGCCTGGTATATCTAGAAATCGTGGACCATTATTTGTGCATTATATTATTTTCTAATATGAATTTTATGTCACTGTATCTCTCCAACTTCAGCAAAGATATTCTGAATTTCCTCCACAGAAATAGTGTCACTTTGCTAATTAAAACTGTGCTCTGTTAGCTTGACAAAGACATGCAACTAAAGAATTCAAAGATATTCAAAGATTAATAAAAAAACCTTCCGAATCTCAGACAGCTGTGTTAGGGGTGAATCTTTCAGTGCTAGCTACCATCCAAACAGCTTAAGTACTGCTGTCCTGATTTAGGAGTGGGAAGGCAGGGAGGCTCAGGG